TCCAACAAGAGAATTTGACAAAGTAAGCCCTGATCTCATAGTCATCTTTTAATTCTTCATTCCTCACGTCTTGTTTTTCGCCATCGTATAACAGAATATACTAACTCAAAACGTCTGCATTTTTCAGGCTGACTACTATGCGCATCCAGAACACTACAACCCTGTTTTCCATGAAAAAATAGCCCCATATGCATCTGTAATCGGTATGCTTTACACTCTTCTATCAATTTTTTAGACAAATCAGTAGAGTTAATGTCATTAAATGAATGCCTTGGATTTTAACTTAAGGATTTTCGAAACCTTTGGTTCTCAATTATCGTTATCCATTTCATCCTCTCATCCCATTAGATTTTAAAAAGACAAAATTTACTCTTTATGTTCTTTTCACCTTGCAGTGAATTGCATGTATTGGGAGAAACGATTTCCGCGCTTATTGAGTACTAAGCAGGTTCAAGATCTAACAAAGAACGGAAGTGTGCTTGTTGGAATCGCTGACATAACTTGTGACATAATGGGGTCAATAGAATTTGTCAACCAAACCACATCAATTGACTCACCTTTCTTCAGGTATAAGTCATAAACTCCGTAGATTCATGCATAAACACAACCTCAAAATGCATTTTCTTGCTCGCAACATAGCATTTGCAGCTTTGAAAATAACAGTTCTTTCGGTATCATGGTTTGCAGATACGATCCTGTGACTAATTCTTACCATCGTGACATGGACGGCGCTGGTGTGATATGTCAAGCTGTGGACATTCTTCCGACAGAATTTGCAAAAGAGGTGCACTACTTTCATCCCTGCCTTCTTTTTCAATAAATGCAGTAATTCTAGGATCGTCTACTGCCAGAGATTATACTTCTCATGGTTTGATAAAACATTTCTTTAATTTTGGGAAGGCTTCGAAACATTTTGGAGACTATATTGTCCAATTTTGTTGGTAATTTGGCTTCTACAAAAGACATTACAAAGTTGCCCTCACATTTAAGGAGAGCTTGCATAACCCATGGAGGAGCACTTACCTCATTGTATGAATATATTCCGCGTATGAGAAAGTCAGACTCAGAGTAAGTTGCGCTTTCATTTCACATATATACTTGCCTCTTGTTCTTTGGTGTTACGATAAGCATATAATCTCTTTTTGATTTGCAGAGAAATATCAAAGAATCTTGCTAATCACAACTACATGAACTACAACATATCAGTAAGTTTCTCTATTTCTATTAACAATTTCGGAAATTTCTCCGCTTATCATGCCATATATGCTGAGTTTCATTTTAAATCACAGGTATCTCTCAGTGGTCACCTATTTGATCAGTTTCTGATAAATGAGGCCTTAGATATCATTGAAGCTGCAGGCGGCTCCTTTCATTTGGTTAAGTGTGACGTGGGTCAATGTTCGAATTCTCTATCATTCTCCGAACTTGAAGTAAGTAGACCTCTAGCCAGTTTGGTCATCGAAGAGGTTTTCACTTTGGTATCTTCGAGTACAAGTTATCTTTACGTCAAATTTCATAGCATGAACTCGTTGTTACGGACAGGTGGGTGCAGATGACAGAGCAGTTCTTGATCAAATTATCGACTCTTTAACTTCTCTAGCAAATTCAAACGAAAATCATGACTTAAAGCAAGAGAAAAATAAGATTTCTCTGAGTTTTGGTGAAGTCCAGCACAGTCCCACTAAAAAGGGAAATGACACGAAAAGAAAGGCTGGGGTTCTGATTATTGGAGCAGGCCGGGTCTGCCAGCCAGCTGCTGAGATGTTAGCATCAATTAGCGGAATGTCATCCCACGAATGGTACAAAACATGCTTTGAAGATGAATTCGAAGAGATTAATGATGTGCAAGTTACTGTTGCATCTCTCTACCTAAAGGATGCTGAAGAGGTATGGCTGCAGAAAATCATATATTTCAAAAACCTGCTTTCAATTCCATCATGATGTATATTTTTTCATTCCAAGAATGATGTGCAAACTTTTATGTATTCGTCTCATTTTTTTGCATTTGAACATTTTGATGCTGAAATTTTGGAGCAGATCACTGAAGGTATTCCAAATACAACAGCAGTTCAACTTGATATTTCTGACACCGGCAGTCTGCATAGGTATATATCGGAGGTAATGACTTTTCTGAGCAGTTTTTGAATTTCAGAGAACTCGAATGCCTAGCAGCTATATCACAGATGATCAAAATGATTTGTTTAACTTAGATGTCTACCATTTTCGGTGTTCAAAACTTGCAAAGCTTCAATCGCAGTCTTATCTTTTTGGTGTTCTTCGTTTCCCTCATGCAGGCTGAACTTGTTATAAGTTTACTGCCGGCTTTTTGCCACGTTACTGTAGCAAATGCATGTATTGAGGTACTTCACGTTGCCTCACTGTTATATTTTCTTTGTTTTTCGTTCTTTACTTTTTCTGCCTTCCTTCCTTTAGCTAAGGAAAAAGGTTTTGTGTCTTCATTCAGCTTAAAAAGCATCTTGTCACTGCTAGCTATGTTGATGAATCCATGTCAAAACTGGATGAGAAGGCAAAGAGTGCTGGTATTACGATTCTTGGTGAGATGGGCTTGGACCCTGGGATAGGTAATGGCTTATGTCCGGAAGTGCTTTTAGAATAACCAGAAATGCTTTCAAATGACGAAAAAGAGAACTATTGAAACTAGTCCTTGTGATTGAAAAAACTTTGGCCTATTAGTAATGCAATTACTATTTTGATTTCGTCCGACTTCAGATCATATGATGGCGATGAAGATGATCAACCAAGCACACTTTCGGAAGGGGAAAATAAGGTCTTTCACTTCTTACTGTGGTGGACTGCCATCCCCAGCTGCAGCAAACAATCCGTTAGCATATAAATTCAGGTAACTCGGATTGGATACCCTCCTCAATTATATCTATTGTGTATAGTTTTACTTCTAACTTCTATTAACCTATCATTTCAGTTGGAGTCCTGCAGCAGCTATTCAATCTGGACGTAATCCTGCCACGTACAAATCTAACGGCAAAATTGTAGAAGTTGATGGTACGTTGTCAGTGATGAGCTATTTTGATTATCATAATGAACACGAGTCATTCTGCACTTTTTCACTTTTATCTTTATGGCACAAAATTGCAGGGAAGGATCTTTATGATTCAGCTGCGAAATATCGGGTTCCAGACCTTCCAGCTTTCTCGTTAGAATGCCTTCCAAATCGTAACTCCCTAGTTTATGGGGACTTGTATGGAATAGGACATGAAGCATCAACAGTCTTTCGTGGAACTCTTCGATATGAAGGTATGACATTGCTTGGTTTCCAGGTTAAGTTAATGCTTAGATTCTGACTTGAATTCTATTTTCCGTAGGGTTTGGAGAAATAATGGGAACGCTTTCAAGAATTGGTTTATTCGAATCGGAACCTCATCCGTTTCTTAAGGATGCAAAGAGACCCACATTCAGGAAATTTTTGTCTGAACTCCTCAAAATGAAAACTGAAGATCTGGACAGACCTCTGATCGGAGAGAAAATCATCCCCGAAAGGATTGTCACGCTCGGATACTGCAAAGAGCAAGGAGCTGCTGTGAGGGCAGCTAAGACTATCGTGTATGCACATTGCACCTCTTACCCCTTTTCCTTCCATTCTTCTTGTGTGCTCGTATTTTCTAGACAGAGTAATACTGAAATGTATCGGTTTGTTCTCCATTGTGGAACAGATTTCTGGGACTTCACGAGCAGAAAGAGATCCCGGCCTCTTGCAAAAGCGCATTTGACGTTGTTTGTCTTCGGATGGAAGAGAGATTAGCATACTCCAGCACAGAACAGGTAGGTTACTTGCGAGACAAGTGAAACAGCGTTATGATAGCCAAGTCATTTTACACCAAAATTATGCATAACCTGTGTGATTTGTGGTCAGGATATGGTGCTTTTGCATCATGAAGTGGAGGTTGAGTTCCCGGATGGACTTCGAGAGAAGCATACAGGCACCCTACTGGAATTCGGGAAAATGAAGAGTGGTAAAATGATCACCGCCATGGCGTCCACTGTTGGAGTACCGGCAGCCATTGGAGCTCTGGTACTTGCTACACGTTTCTATGATCTTCTATAGTATGCAGTGAGATAAATCCCTAACCAAATTTACTTCCTTGCAGCTCTTACTTGGAAACAAGATCAAAACCAGAGGCGTCTTGAGACCTATCGAACCAGAAGTATACGTCCCAGGTAACCACTTGCTCTTATTCTTCATGATTTACCCTTTTCGACATGAAATTTGGTTGTCCGCAACATAACTGGTGAATTTTTGTGCTGTTGTAGCAATGGATATGCTACAAGCATATGGAATCAAGTTAATCGAGAAGATCGAGTGATCCGAACTATCTCCCTTCGTCCTTCCTGACAAATATCGACTGACCCAACTTGAAACTCGATGCGCTACTGCCTGGTATCGCTCGGGCGCAAGGGAGCACAGATATTTGAAAGGAAGTGTTTGATGTAAATTATGTGACACGGCTCCAGTGAGATGTTTGCAGTGCCTTTTTTTTTCTTAAGTCGCGGAAAATGGCGTTTGCAAATGGGAGGGGCTTACTGTTCCTACTTGGTGTAAGAAAAATAACGATGCGAACAATGAATTTGACACAGTTTATCAGATCAAAACTCAAATACTTGAGTTCTCCAGGAATGCTTTGTGATTACATCGAATTGAGCCGGTTATCATGCCAGGTTCAAACGAACTTTAATGCTGGACAAGCTTGTGCAACAAAATTGAGAAACAACTAATTCATAAGTTCAACGCAGTGTGTAGGCATTTTCATGGTTGTCAAAAACAAAATTTTAGGGTTAGAGCAAAATCTAACATATCCGTCGTTCTACTAATAAACTACAGCTACCGTTAGGGGTGGGTTCGGTTGGGTTCGGTTTCAATCGGTTCAGTTTTTTTTTATTTTCGGTTTTTCAAACCCACCCCTAGCAGCAGTAATGGCAAATACAAAACAACTAGCATACCTAAAGAATAAAACAAGGTCACACAGTTAAACAATGGAAAATTTTGGATTATTCACGAATTTTCGTCATCCTCCATATTTACAACTTGGGAATTTTCCTTTTACCTCATTCTCTTCTAAATGAATAATAAGGAGAAAAAGGAATAGAAACCAAACCCAATCCAGGGTTGGCTTTCAGAAATCTGACACCTAGTTGCCAGAAGTTGGGGTAATGATATGATATTATCACTTCTCACCATTGTCCTACTAAAACTGTCACCGGACAACCCTATTTGGTCCGGTCTCTAAAGACTAGAGTTTCGTCATCCACGATATTTCGGTAGCATCCTTCTGAAGGACTCCGTGTTCTCAACATATCTTGACAAATTGGCGGTCAATCTTGTAATGGGTTGTAAGAAAAACTACGAAATTATGCTGTTTATGGTCATCAGCTGCTTCTCGACTGCTTCCCAGTTATGAACCTTGGTAACCAGGGGGTGTTGATCAATAGACTCGGTCTTGCACCAGGGATATGAGTTCTCATAATCAAAAAGTAGAACCCTGATCCCCACCTCGGCACATTCAAGTGCATATCTTGGATTGTCATCGATTAGAACCTTTGCTCCCAGGGACCTGGCAAGTACATGTCATCAGAACAGAGAGTCGCTATACAATGTATAGTAGGACAATGCTTGAGTCCTATGAGGAGATAGTAGTCGACAAAACCAACAAGCAGGTAAACATGCATCATGATTGGAACAGGAAACTTGAAAATCAGATTTATAGGTTCTAAAAACTGAAGGAAAAATGCTTCAAAAGATGCATACTGAGAAGTTTCAAATACATAACATCTTCGTAACTATCTGAAGTTGTTCATGGACATACCTGCATATTTCTGACTTAGGCCTGGACTCTCCATGCAAAGCCCAGTGGTTGCCAAAGTGAATCTCCTGAAACAGCCCTGAAAAATGTTGTTCGATCCATTGAAGAGTGTGGTCCTTAATTATATTCTGCCGAGACCTATTAGCACAGATGCCAAAAGACCAAGTTACTAAATGCTCTGATAACCATAATAATAAAATGGTCTCAGCTAATTGTACATACGTCACAACCGATAGGTCACAGAAATCTGACAACTTATGAATCGTCTCCTGAGCACCTGGGAGTGGATGGATCCCGGTCTTGAAATATGATGTTTTAAAGAATTCGTGAACACGATTATCGGCTGTCAAAACGAATTAGGTAACCAATCGTGACTATGCTTTAAAGAAAGGAAAAAAGATATGGCAGGAAAAAAAGTGCAAGTAAAATTTTAAGCAGCAATCTCAAAACATTTATCAAATGTCTGAATTAAAAATTTGACCATGAAACCAAAAGAATCTGGTGATTTAATGCAAAGATGGACACATTTATAGTACCTTCATCACGTGAACAGTTCCATATCTGTAACAGAAAAGAAATTTGATGCATCAGGATATGTTCAAGGAAATGTAAATATTCTCCCAAGAAAGCGTATCAAGGGAAAGGGTAACAGAAAATGTAAAAATATATCCGTGAAGCCTGCTACCAAAGAGAACTGGCACCTTAAACCACAGACTAAAGAACTCGGATTTCTGGAGTAACAACTCAACTCAACTCAACTCAATCAAACAGAGCGAGGAATGGATGAGGCAAGCAAATATTACTATATTCCAACACAAGAAACGTCTGAAATATAAATCACAGTTCACAATGTAATATTGACTGCAAGTCGAGAATACAAAGTAAACCGCCAACTACTACGAGCATACTCGTAGACAACTCACAGGTTCGCTATTATATGAAAAATGCTAAAAACATTTGAAATGTTGAGTCATACCAACTTGCAATGCCAAAATATGGCAAACAAGCAAGCAAACCAACAACCACAATTGCATGACTCTATATATGTAGCAATCTAGACTCATTGACTCAACTAGTTGGCAGGTAATACCTTGAAGAACTCATACACATGGTACTCCGAAACTGAATGGTGGGACGAGTAACGATCAGCAATAAAGCTGTTGAGAGCTGAGACAAAGTTTCCCAATACTGCTCATAAAAAACAGCATTCGGACAAAATAACCATGTATCAGCTAAAAACAGTTCCAAACTCTCGTTTTGGTTAAATCAACACAAACCCAAGTTGGCAAATATAAAAGACAACAAAATAATCGTAACAGAAAATGAGAATCAATGTATATACATTACCCTCGTCCACATCGACCGCGACAACGATTTTATCACCGGGCAAAGGATGGTGTGGGATTCCAGCCCGGCCTCCGCGCTCCTGGCAACCATTTGTGGAGGTCAATCCAACGGTATCCGAGCTGCGGAGGTCCAGCTCAAGATCACGAACCAACTGAGCATTGGGATGACGCTTAATGCTATTGCTATGAGACTGATTGTGGGGATGATGCTGAGATTGTAAGCACCCCTTCACAACAAAATTGCACCCAATGCTTGTATTCCTCAGATTCCCAGGAAAAATCCCAACTTTCCCAGGAAATTTTCCAGCTTTCCCGGGAAAATTCGCAAACTTGCAAGAATGGCCCGCAGAAAAATGGGAAGGCGTCCATTGAGCTTGGGTTTGAAACCCTCTGCATCCACTATGGCTAAACAAAAAAGCAGCCGCCATGGCCTCTGTATACTGCTGGCGGCGATGGAGGAGCAAAGGTCGGTGCTTTGAGCTTGCGAAGAGGAAGCGATCGACGCCTTGCCTTTTCAACAACAACATAACGATCCCCAAATGCCCCTCACACCCAAAACCCCAACATTCACAGAGATTGCAGCATAAACCCTAGAAACTGCCGATTTGGGAATGCCCAACTCCCAAAACGTAGCGGGAAGATTCCTCTGCAAAATTCTGAGTCGGCCACGGGATGCACGAAGTTGGGAAGGTGAATCTAAAGAATGCAAGTCACGTATATTCATAAAAGAAAATAAATTGGAAGCTCTCTCCTCTCTCTCTCTCTCTCTCTCTCTCTCTCTCTCGTTCGTTTCTCTGGTGCTGTAATCCAATCGTCTCTCTCTCTCGTTCGTTTCTCTGGTGCTGTAATCCAATCGAATAAATTTGCAAAAAAAAAAATCTAAAAATTATTATTTTTTGTTTAATTCTGAATCACTTTTTAGTAATTTTCAGTTTATGAGGATTAATTATTGGTTAAAGCGGAAACTCGGCCTTGATTTCGGATTAAATTGCAAAAATTTAATTTGTAAAAATGGATGCCTTCCCTCCTTCAGTACCTTTCTTCTTCTTTCATTCCTGTGCGTATCATTTATGGGACCCACACCAATGTAATCCGACGGTCTTGATTGTGTCCACGTTTTCTGCTTGCCGTGGGCCATCTCTGTCTTTTCCTTTCGTCTCCTTTTGTTGCTTATTTTTTGTGTTTTCTTGGCCGTTGAAAAGAAAAGGAGTCTAACCTTGGCTTTGCTTCGGATATGAAAACTGATGTTATTTTACGTTTATTTAGAGTAACCCTAATCAACTACATGCTTAGTAACTTTGTAATTGTCATTACCTCTCTTTGTACATCAATAACAATTTCTTTTATCTCAATAGTTCACATGTTACAACATGCAATAATTAGTATTGTTCTTTTAGAAAATCTGCTTTGTAATCGAATGTATTATCCTTACGTTTACAATCGAGAGAAAATCTTGTGTTTGGATATCCGTACAGTGCACTAAACACAAAAGAGTTAAGGGGTCTTTGTGTGTGTGGTCAAATAGTCACGTTACCCAAATATATGGACAAAATACAAGAATTTCTCCTCCATTTTAATATTGTTAAAATTCTCTCGTACTTGTTCGATTAGCAAATCAATCGTTAATTCAACTATCATATAATGTAATCAATTAATCTGATTTAAAATACATCGTTTCAATACGAAGGGGATTAAAATGGACAAGAACACAAATGTAGGTAAAAAACAATCAGCATCGATTCAATGCAAAGTAAACCTTAAAATATATACAAGTGGTGGTGAACCCTTAAAATATATACAATACAAGTGGTGATGAAAATTTAGATGATCAATGTGGACACTAGAACAAGCGCAAGTAACCCCATCACAACTTTGTAGGAGCTGTGCTCTCTCAATCCAGCAGAAGGCGAAGCAGGAGACCGCGTTCGAGACTTTGCGAGATCAATCATGATCTCGAACCGGCACGTACCATTCTGAGTCGGAGTTGGATCCATCTTTGTAATGACTGAAAGACCGGAGAAGTTGCAGGCATCGTTGCGCTGGTCCATTGTTTGAAAGTACATGTTGAAAGCATAAGAGGCATTGCTTTTAGCATCAAGCATTCCACAAGAAGATCCATTTCCAAGACTTGTGCAATCTGCATGGGAGCAAGCATAGTTGACACTTTGAGCCAAATTTGGATCGGAAGTGCTCGCGTCCGGCGACATTACGCACCATTGTCTAGGCAAATACTTCACCCCTTTCGCCGGAACCAAAGATTTTCCGCTACCCATGTCCAACGGGTATTTGAGTGATCCGTCGTAATTGAACATCCCCCAATGCCTCTCGAAATTCCCGGGCTGAACGCTCTTGGCATCTTCATCTATGAGTGCAAATATGTAAATGTCGGGCGCAGCTGACCTCTTTGGGGTGCCTTGTCCAGCAAGGATTCGGTTTAGAAGGCCTTGGTTGAACCGCTGGGCGTCTTGTATGTTGGCATTAGGGTCACCATCCGTTGGCCATCCGACTTCTCCAACAATGACAGGCAATTTGGAGAAGCCGTTCTTTTCGAGGGCGGCAATGCAGGTGTCGAAGTTGGCATCAAGCACGTTGGTGTAGGAGATCGAGCCATCGACAACGGGCTTCGCAGTGTTGTTGAAGAAGGCGTATTCTTTCGGAAAATCGGGGTCGGCTTGGAGGCTGAGGAAAGGGTAGATGTTGATGGTGAGAACGCCGTTGTTGTCGCTTAGAAACTTCATGATGGACGTCATGAGGGTGCGGATGTCAGACCGGAAGTCGCCTCCGGAGGGAAGGCCGGAGTCAGTCTGGTAAACGTCGGCGTTTATGGGAATCGTCACCTTCACTTGCCTCCCTAGCCCTGCTTTTATGAGGGCTGCTTGAATATTTTGGAGTGCTGGAAACGTGGTTTGCAAGAAAGTGTCCTTGTAGGCTGTGAGGAAAGGTTCATTGCCCACGGCCACATACCTGCGTAGATTCAGATGTTAATTTGATATCTGATATAGGAGAAATTCTTGAGCCCGGTAGGTGAACCACACACGCAAAAAGTGCGACTCCCTTATATTGGGTGGGCCAATATTGTACTTTCTGAAACCTTTACAATTTTGAGTAATACGAACGAAAATTTTGAGTCATTTACCTTATATCGACGCCGTTTTTAGATATGTAGGAAGATACATTTTGAGACACCCATTTCTCAGCGACAGTAACACTACTAGCAAGTGGTGCCAATAAATCATTAGGTATCCCCACCATAACCTGGATGCCTGACCTTCCCAGAGCTTGCAATGCCCCGGCATCAGCTTCGAACAGCTTCACCTTGCTGAAGCCATTGTCCTTCAAAAGCTTGACGACAATCTTAGGAGGCAACGGGTGCGTGGAACGGGTTCCCCAGTTGCACGCCAAGCCGCCAGCACCAAGCACCCCTCTCACCACGCCTTCGCTGGTAACGCAGAGCAACAAGAACAACAAGAACCGGAAACCCATGTTTTCTTAAGCCCTCCTCACTTCAGTCTTCTCGGTTTTTCGAGCGTATTTCTACTGGGTGGAAATGTCCGTTGATGAGAGGAAAGGCAAGGAATCAGATGAATGTTTAACTGGAAAACTGGATTCTAGGAGGGAAAGGGATAGAGTGAACTTGTTGTAAACCTAGTTTTTTGATGCGCCAAGTAGTTCCTGGATGGGAATCAAAAAAACCATATGGAAGGAATTGCCTTTTTTTGGTCCCAGACTACAGAGCCTTAGGGAAAAGTCCCTTTCGTATTGTTCTCACTTTTCGTTTAAGGAAGTACTTTTAAATACGCGTTTTTAGTCATTTAAAAGTAATTTTCAAACGAGCTACCAGACTGTTTAAAAATGCTTATGTTCATAAGCATTTTTGTTGCATGTGCTTTTGTTAAAAGCATGTAAAATAAATTTATTGAAAATTCAAGTGGGTTCTATAAGCATTTAATTCAAGAGGAGTAATTAGCTAAAGTCAAATTCTAAATGACTAAAAGCATTTAATTCAAGTGGGTTCACAAGGGTTAATCAGCTAAAGTTAAAGTTCAATAGGAAAATTGATTAATTAAAAAAATTCAAAGAGATAATCAGCTAAAATTAAAGTTCAAGAGAAAATTTGACAACTGTATACAAGTTCAAAGAGCAAATCAATAAATACCTCTAAATTTATTAAAAATTCAAGTGGGTTCCAAAAGCATTGAATTATGTGCTTCTTGCATAAAGAAATTTAAGTAATTTTTCAAAATTCACTTGCACTTTTACTGAGTATTAGTTCCAAAACATTTTTGCCAGAAGGATTTTCAACCATTTTCAACACACTTCCCAACAAGCTGTTAAAATGCTTTTATACCTAGAAGCACTTTTAACAATTCTTAGCCATTCAAAATAAATAAATAAACAATGAATTTGTAATTAATAACATCTATTAATCATTTTGATTTCGAATAATATCTACTAATCATTGTTACTTAAAATTACACAACAGAAAAGGAGATGATTTGAAACAATAAGAGGCCGATTCAAAACAAATTATGTTCACTCTTTCCTCTCACTTTAACTCTACATTAGGACCATTACAACAAAATTTACTGCGTAAAATGAAAATTTTATAGGCACGGGAGAAAGAATATCAGCTGAACAAAATTAGATCGTCGGCGTTTAAAGCGGTGATGTCGAAAATCATTTCTGCCGGGACTCATCAAAGTGGCAAGACCGGAAAAATAGCTTATGGCAGAAGTGCTTTCAATTGTGCCCTGAATAAATCACCAAGAGCTCCGCGAACATCCATCTGAACGAATCGAGCAAATATAAGTTTTCCCGGAACATATCCTGAATCTCTAATTAGTAATTAAATTTTGTAAGAGGGAGTGTCAAACTCAGTTACCTGGTCACAGCATACGAGTTTTGTAAGCAACGGATAGAAGTCTCTCAGATGCCTTCTGAAAATTTGTTGGTTCATAAAGCACATGCCTTTAAGCACCTGAAAGACCAAAACAATGAGGAAATTATCATCGGTTAATACTGCAAATATTCGAAACTCATGGGAAACTGATCCCGTAAAATATTGTCCATCAACAAGCACAATGAGGTGAATCCACCAAACCAATCAAATTGGGGTTTCAAATTATACCTTGATAATTATAGGAGATCGTAACTCCAGAACCCGATGAATATCCATATTAGTAGTCTCGCCAGAACCGGACTGCAGATCAGATGCCTCCCTGAGTACCTGTTCACAGAAAGACACCAGTTTCTCTTCTGCTAATCCTTCGACTTTCTCTTCACCATCAGTTTCTCCCTCTTTGTCGGCACTAACCCCAGAGGTTGCTTTTTGTAAGATCTCCAGATATATGACAGTTCCTGCTAATTCTTGGCGAAGAAGATTCAGAGGTGGCCTGTCCAAAAGATGAAATAGTCACAAACTGTGTTCTTATGTCCAACAAACTATCGTCCTCAAGGAGAAAATTCTACAGCAACAGAAAATAATTTGTGCACAAGGTTTCATCCTACCTCTCATCAGGAATTTGGTGCATGCGTGTTCTGAGATTGGTATATGAATTATAGGAAGCAGCGAACTCCAATGCAGACAGCAATATGTCCATAATAGCAATCTTTTGTGGTGCATTCAACTTGCTCCAGTATTTCTTCTACAAATTGCAAGCGATTTTATTAGGAAGACAGTTCCTGGAGACTTTTTTACAGAAACCAATGGTAACAATATGGCACCCCCCAAACAAATTCAAAATCCAAACCTGAATACTGTCAATGGCGCCAAGCAGTAAAAGTTGAGTGATGCATTTGCTCCTACAAGTTCCCAACAGTGAACTCTCCTCCACATCTCTGATATCAGGTTCGACAGCC